TGATGTAGATCTGTACTTACTCACTTGGAAAGATAAATTGTTCAGTAGTAAAAAGCAGATAATGAAAGAAAAATGAGGAGCAGTATCCCATGTAGGTAAAGCAAACAAAAAATTATTCCTAGCAAAAAATTTCAAAGGTTACAAACATGCTGAGTGGTAATCCCTGGGTTACAGTGTTTTAATTTTACGTTTTTTATATCTTTCTTTTTTTTTTCTGAAAAAAAATTTTCAATAAACACGTGTTGCTTCTTTTAATCAGAAAAACAATGAAGGCATTTTGATCTGAAAGGAAAGCATAGCAAAAAAGCACAGAAGCATTAGACATGAATAGTTCTGAGTGAAGACAAGATCTAAAATGTCCTTGGAGTGAATTTCAGAAGAGGAGTTAAAGGTTCCTGGAAATGGGATATTCAAGAGTTGGATTGGTCCTGCTTTAAGACCCTGAGGTTCGCTGACATAGTAGCAGGAATTGAACAGAGGGAGAAACTACAGCCGGGGGCTGAATACCTCAACGGATGTCAACAATACTGAGTATAACTAGACTTTGTGACTTTCCAACTTTTTTTTCTCAGAAGTGTCACAAGAAAATATGAACAAGATAAAAAAAAATTTAAACCTATGAATTTCACTTACTCGTAAACAACCATTCTGAAAACACGTTTAGGTATTATTAATCAGTCTGCTAATGTCACACATTTGTTTCTGATATTTCACTATTACACACAGCACATTCCTAAACAGCCTTAGAGCTAAATCTTTGAGCTAGATCTTATCTCCTCAGGATCAGTTCTTAGACTTGCGATTGCTAGGTAAAACAGCATGTATCTTTTTAAGACTTAAAATATTTAGCCAGGGCCGGCCGGTGGCGCACTGCTACAGTGCGCCGCTTGGGAGCGCGGGGCCCTCCCACCGAGGGTTCAGATCCCACATACAGACCGGTTCCCCCTCACTGGCTGAGCTAGGTGCGGGCGCAACACCGAGGGTTGCGATCCCGTTGCCGGACACGAAAAAAGACAAAAAGGAAAAAAAAATATTTAGCCAAATTATTCTTCTGTAAAATAACAGATATATAATTTTCAAACTAATTCTCATACAAATACGGAGTAAGCACAGGCCAGGTTTTTATTTTAACTCACTTAATGAGGAAACCAGTGGGATAACAAGGTTGGTTTAAAGAAATATATGAGAAATTATCTATGTATTTATCTATCTATAATCAGTATTTTATATATAAAATCACTGTTGCATATATATCAGTGCAAGAAAAAAGAGAATACTGAAATCATTCTAAATTATTGCTGAATTAGATACAAACCTGATTAATGTCCTACAGGACAATAAACTATAACCTTTCGTGCTATCATCTTTACAGAGCAGAAATCATTTTCATCTGTGCAGGACAAAACTTATTTATTTCTCTATTGGACAAAAATATTAGCAAAAGTCTTATCAATTTTCTACACGTTAAATCTCAATTTACGGTTGTAAAATATGCAAATCGATGATAACTAGCAAGTCAAAGTTCAATTCACTTTGGATCAAATGACCCTTAGGTGGGCTTGTTAGATAATGCCCTAGCATGAAAACAAAGGCTTAAGCAGTCATATTTTTGCCTTCCAAGTTTTGAATAACTTTTTCTCACCAAAGGTCATCCCAATTTCCAGTTCTTACTGACGATATATGTATGAATGTACCTGTTTGGCCTTCACCATCACCTGTCTCTTTTTTTTAATGTTTGTCAGTTACATAGATGAAAAATAGAATCTCATAATTTTAAGTTGTACATCCTTTATTATTAATGTGACTGAACACTTCTCTCATATGATTACTGGCCATTTGTTCCTCTTTTTAAAAAGCCTACTTATATCTTTTGCTCATTTTTCTAGTGATGTATTCATCTTTTTCTTTTTGATTCATAGTTTTTTAGTATATTCTTATTACATAAAGTTCATTATTAAATTATGTATTAACCTTTCAGTTCTTCAATATTTTTATTTTTACATTTACTTTTTTGTTTAAATTTTTAAGATTAATTTATTTTTTAGAATAGTTTTAGGTTTGCAGAAAAATTGAGTGGAAAGTACAGAGTTCCCATATACCCCTTTCCCGCCCCCACCCTTATACACAGTTTCCTGTTATTAACATCTTGCATTAGTGTGGTACATTGGTTACAATTAATGATCCAATTTTTTTTTTTTTTTGGGTCCATTTTGAGACCGGCCGCACTGCGCTCAGCCAGTGAGCGCTGTGAGCGCACCGGTCACCTCTATATAGGATCTGAACCCGTGGCAGGAGCACTGCTTTGCTACCAGCGCTGCACTCTCCCGAGTGCACCACGGGGTCGTCCCAATGATCCAATATTGAGACATTGTTATTAACTAAATCCATACTTTACATTAGGGTTAACTTTTTGTGTTATACATGCTATGGGTTTTGACAAATGTGTACTGACATGTATCCAACATTACCATACAGGGTCATATAGAGTACTGCCCTAAAAATCCCCTATTATGATGAATAGGTTCTCCACCTATTCACCCTTCTCTCCCTTCCCCATATTTATATTTTTAATCCACTAGGAATTTATTTTCATGTAGTGTGTGAGGTATGCTTTAACTGTGTGAAGACATTATTCCATTGAGACTCAGGATTCCATATCCTTGACTTCTGCCCACCAAAGGTTCTCCTTGAAAGGTATATGTCCAGAGCACCGGACCAGGCAGCACATCCTCCTTATTATCACCTGGGGCTTTGGTCTCCAAAACATAGAACTTAGCCATCTCCAATAGAACAGGGCTGGGGAACTTGGCACTCTGAGGTTCCTTTTGCTTAGGTAAGAGTTTTCAAGATGCTGAGACTCTTACCAGTTTTCACTGAAACAGGAACAGAATACTTTAATATTATATTGGAATTGGGTTGCAAGCCATCCTTTCTTGGAAAAGACTGCCCTTTATTCTGAAATCATGCCCTTCTTACAACTTTTCTTCAACTCCCCTAATCTGTCTCCCCCCTGCTCCTGGCCAGCACCATGCTACTTCCTGTTTCTAAGAGTTGGACTACCTTAGATACCAAATATAAGTGGAATCATGCAGTATTTGTCTTTTTGTGACTGGCTTATTTCACTGAGTATAATGTTGTAGCATGTGACACGATTTCCTTCTTTTTTAAGGCCTAATAAT